CGCTCCTCTGGCGGACCAGAGAAACGCCAAACATTGGCACGTCCCAAATACCGAAATTAGGCGTTACTCTGGCAGTTATGGCTCAAGTCTGGCACCAACTTTGGCGCTCCTCTGGCGGACCCGAGAAAAGCCAAACTTTGGCACGTCCCAAATACCGAAATTAGGCGTTACTCTGGCAGCTATGGCTGAAGTATGGCACCAACTTTGGCGCTCCTCTGGCGGACCAGAGAAACGCCAAACCTTGGCACGTCCCAAATACCGAAATTAGGCGTTACTCTGGCAGTTATGGCTCAAGTCTGGCACCAACTTTGGCGCTCCTCTGGCGGACCCGAGAAAAGCCAAACTTTGGCACGTCCCAAATACCGAAATTAGGCGTTACTCTGGCAGCTATGGCTGAAGTATGGCACCAACTTTGGCGCTCCTCTGGCGGACCAGAGAAACGCCAAACCTTGGCACGTCCCAAATACCGAAATTAGGCGTTTCTCTGGCAGTTATGGCTCAAGTCTGGCACCAACTTTGGCGCTCCTCTGGCGGACCCGAGAAAAGCCAAACTTCGGCACGTCCCAAATACCGAAATTAGGCGTTACTCTGGTAGCTATGGCTGAAGTATGGCACCAACTTTGGCGCTCCTCTGGCGGACCAGAGAAACGCCAAACCTTGGCACGTCCCAAATACCGAAATTAGGCGTTGCTCTGGCAGTTATGGCTGAAGTATGGCACCAACTTTGGCGCTCCTCTGGCGGACCAGAGAAACGCCAAACCTTGGCATGCCCCGCATTCCCAGATTAGGATTTACTATGGCAGTTATGGCTCAAGTATGGCACCAACTTTGGCACTCCTCTGGCGTACCAGAGAAGAGCCAAACTTTGGCATGCCCTAGGATTGCCCAACTAAGGCTATAGTTAGGCACCGTACTTTGGCACTGATGAGTGCCATGGTGCAAAAACCTAACTGCGCCAAAGTTGGGCCCTTATGTTTGCTAGACCTTTGCACAAGTTGGGCATTCCTCTGACGTGCTACTTGGGAGGGCTTTACTACTGTCTGGTGCGGGTTGGCCTTCCTAAGAAAGCGTCCTGAAGATGATTCATAATAGGCAAAAGGGTCGGTAATAAAGTTGACAGTGAAGGGGAGGTGGTTCCAGTCCAGGTGTAGCCCGAAACCATGTTGGCTGACACTTTGTGCAGCTTTTGACCCTGTAGAGTTTGAAAACTAAAAAAAAAAAAGCAGAAACGTTCAATCTGAGCATAAAGCTGATAATCAGAGTATCATTATATTTTATTTCGTGTGCTCTCCTGGCAGAGCATCGTTTTATTATAAGCGTGCTGCCCTGGCAGTTAAATGCTTTTCGTGAATAAACCTTCAACTAAGCGTAAGTGTGCAAATGAGCTGGTGTGAATGGCACATTACCGAAACCCCCGGACAGCCGGTAAAAAAAACGACAGACATTCAAAAGTGTTTTAAGTGTCGGTCCTTTACCTCCAGTATAATGTTTTCTGACAGGTACATGAGTAAAACTTTTCGGTAAGTCGCATACCCATTTGTTTTTATACCAATGGTTTTTATTTCTAGTAATTTGGCTCCACCCTAAAGACTGTTTCTTAAGTGACTACCTTAGTCTTAACAAATGTAAGGTAAAACGTCTACAAAGCACTGTTATGCCTCAAAACTCGATGCAGAGAAGTTCGATGAAACGGCCCTAAGCAATTCGATGGAACGGCGTTCGATGAAATGGCGTTCGATGAAATGTCCATTCATTCGATGAAACGGTGTTCGATGAAACGGTGTTCGATGAAATGTCCGCTAGCCGTCCGCAATGCCTGCTGGAAAGCTCAGCTATTTGAACTTCCAAACGTGTATTTACACAAAAATATCCATACAGCAAAAAGTCTCTGCACCGAAAAGTCCGGGCTCCGAAATGTCGGCACCGAAACGACCTACACCGAAACTTCCTACGCTGAATTGTTCGGATCCCCAGTTTGAAGAATCCAACAACCTTGCGAATAAAGACAGAGCCATTTGCCTCTCCTTGTATTTTTCTAAATTTGTAAAACGCCAAGTATCCGGGTTCATCAGAGATTTAAGCCATAACTGCAGCGACTGGCGGCTTCATAATAATATATAAAAACAAAACTTATGCAATTTTTCACAAGAGCAGTCGTTGAAACAGGGCGCTCTCGCACTACCCCATGCTTCCCGCGCTTGGAAATATTGGATTAAAAAAAAAAAAAAGAACGAAGCAATACTGGAACGGGGTGTGTGTGATTCATGCTGAAAGCGAGGAAGGGGGGGGGGGGGGTGCACTTATCATTCTTCTTTGTTCAGTATACCAGGAACTCTGTGATAACGTCATTGCCCGTTCAAGGTTTTCGAAACGCACAATGGGTCGCTTTAGAGCCTGCTTGCGGAATTCCTTCGGGTCGCTGAGGTGGGGCTTGATGGAAGTAGGACATCCGGACGCTACAAGCTGTTCCTGCAGATGCACTGCTGTGAGGGTTTCATATGACTTCTCGCTCCTTGGCGCGCATCGCTGCACCAAATCCGAATGCCACGTGTCACTTTTCCCAGCACTGAGTCACCTCCGATGTCTCATGGTATCGAGGCGCTCGAGGGGGAAGGGGGGGAGAGGAGTCGCCACTGCGTTCTTTCTTGTGTTCGGGTTCAATGTTTCAAGCCCAAGTCTGTAAATAACGGGGAGGCTGGGAGAAAGCTTCGAAAACCAGACAGCTTCTTGTGCAAATCGTGATTGATTTGAGCCTGAGCTACGAACTACGTGCATAATGAAATGTCGGAAGATATTTGTACCCTTTTTTTATCCCTTTCATCGCCTCATCTAAAACTTTCTGATTTTCTCGTGCGTAGATGACATCTTTAAAACAATTGTGATCTTGGGTGTTCCCTATTTTAGACAAGCTTAGTAGCACAAGTGTGACACAAATAGGCGGCGCACACCAAGTCACTGAGCCAGAAACTTTCTGGTTGTCGCGGGGTAGTCAGAACTGCATAGTGTACGCGTACGTTTGTCCTCATGCGACTACCATTATATTGCCGGAAAAAAGCAGTTCTTTTCTTGGTCCTGACATTTAATTGAAAATATGGCATAGAATATAGTTGTCCTTCGATGCAAAAGGAACTATTTCCGAAAACGAGAAACGATCTCCAAATACTATTCAATTAAACCGCTTTGATCAAATGGCGTTTGATTCAATAACGTTCGATTAAATGGCTTCGATGAGACGGCGTTCGATGAAGTGTCCGGACCTAATCACCAGCATTAATTTAAAATACGAGTTAATCTTTCCTACCTTGCTCAGTCCACGGATAAAACCACCTCATCTGGTTGGTTGCTAATATCAATGACCTAACTTTATTATAAATGCCATCAGTGACGTTTTTGCGGTGGCCCGTGACCTGCTACTTTGTTTCTGTTTATTATTAGTAATTATTTGTTACAGATGTACAGACTATTTGGCAGTGTATTTACCTTCCGCTCTATAACGACTTCGGGCCACGAGAGCGCATTCGATAAACAAGTACACAAAAGTAGTAATTGTGGTCGCGTTGTCAACTCCATCCCTTGCTTAATCATGTATACAATGCGTAGGAAAAAACGCGTTGATAACAATATAATGGGAGAAACTTGGAAAATTGTTAAGCGGGCGTTGGTTTTTAAAAGCCGGGGATCTTGAAGATGTGTGACAAAACGCGGGGGTTTGCGGCAGGGGTATGGAAACGGGGCTTTCGGATTTGGATTATTTCTTAAAACTAATCATGGAATGGGGCAGAATCGTAAATGTCGGCGAGGAGCACTTTATTCTGTCAGGAAGACCCGGCTTGCTTTTGTAAGTAAACGACCGTTGAAACAGATAACAGACATACACTGGATTCTCCAGTAGCTTCGAAAAGCCACGTTACGTTCTCCGCTCAAACTGTGACATTGAACTTTAAAAATACGTGGAACAGAAAAAACGATCAGATAGAAAAGCTACACGGACTGAGTGTACCTCCATTTCACCATAACTTGGTAAACGGCGAAAGCTACGATCCCCGTTGGCCAATCAGAGCAAGGGAGCGACGCACGAGACAGCTCTCCGTGGGAGGATCGTGTTTCTATGGCACATCGTCAAGTGCTTTGCTCCGATGCGCCGATTGGCTCACGAGGGTCGTAGCTTTATATCCTGTCTTCAAAGGACTGACTCTCACAACGCTTGAGCGAGCACTTAACCCCTCGCCTTGTCCTGTGCGGAAGGTACTCTGTGATAATGGTTTTGCCCGGTTCGACATTCTGACAATATACAATGACACCTTTGTGAGCTGCTTGGAGATGTCTTCGGGGTAATCCGAGAAGTCATACATACTGCTTTGGTACAAGATTATGCTCTGTATACCCAGGGATGGACCACACCGGACGCTGCTAGTCGTTCCAGCCAATGCAGCGCTGCGAGCGCTTCATTTGGCCTCGTGCCACACTCAGCGCATGTCACGTGTCACACACTCGGAACTGATTTACCTCCGATGGCTCGTAGCGTCCGCTGCGGTCCATTTGAAGGTAGAACGGATCGTAACAGAGTACGCTGCTTTGTGTTTGCGAATAATGGATCGCTTAGAGTGGTTCATTGGTAAATCCTGCTTGAGTTCAGCCTGAGCTCGCAAACTCTGGACACAATAAAACTATGTGGCGTAGAAATAAAAGCTTCTGAAAATGTCGGTATCGTTTTTCTTTTTTTTACTTGTAACTTTTGTTATTGCTTGGAACCGAGTTCGGCCCTGGAAGCTGTTTGCCGCACTGTAAATTTGTCCAGTTATTAGATAGCCTCCGAGCAATCGAGTTTGCCCTGACAGGTCGCGCCATCTATCGCCCAACTTCGAAAGCAATGGGAAGTCTGCCTCGCTGGCCTCGCCAGCTTCGCCATTTGCATCGCCGTACGTACGCGTTGTTTACGTTGGGCGCGCTCTACTTCTGCTACGGTCCTTTGCTCGTGTTAAGTCTGCGTACCAAGTTTCATGGCACCGGTCAAAAGTAAGCACGCCGATAATGAACCCTCTGACGACGTAAATCGCCGTACCAAGACGAAACGGAAGACGTACCGGTACTGCTGTGTGAAGAACTGTCATAACAACGAGGGACTCGGACAAGTGAAACTGCACCGCTTTCCTTCGCAACCGTGGGATAAGGAACGGCGTAAGAAATGGATCTCGGCTGTCAGGCGTGTAAAGTGAGTATAACCGTTCAATGGTGTGTTCCAACAAGCCGAAATAATGCAGTGTTCGAGTACGCTGTCGCTTGACGCTTAAAATTGGGTTTTGGTGAAGAACCCTGCGGTCGTACTAAGTATACGGGTGGCTATTCTTGTAGACTGCTCTCCGAATTCATCGGTGCAAAAAAATATATGACTTAGAAAAACTGAGGCAACCCGAGGAAGACTTCTGCCGCAAACAGAGCGGGGTGAAGGAAATTCGTAACACATTCGAATTGAGACGTTCCTGTTTTTTCGGTTCCTTGCCGCCTTGACGCAGAATTCTGATAGATGATCGGTACTTTGTCACTTTGCGATGTCTTTAATCGACACCAAATTGGTTAAAATGGTCCTACGGAATTTTTTCCCGAAGAAAAAGTGGCTTTTGTGTAAATTTTTCTGTGTTCATCTGAATTTTTTTTCTACTAAGTTTATGAAAACAAGAGTTACAAAAAGATATTCCTTGTGCCGTATTTGAGTCCTTACGAGTGTTAACCTGCAATGAAAATATTAATGTGACTATGTATTTGGATTACTCTTGCAGCACAGATGGCTCAGAATGGGCACCAAACAGCAGCTCCAGGATCTGTTCAGAGCATTTTGTCAATAATGCCAAAAGCAACATCGCAGCCCATCCTGCGTACCTCCCCACACTCTTTCCAGCAGTGTACAAGAGGAGTTCAGTGATTCCGCAGGACCAAGCGTCAAGGTTTGACAGGTGAAGTTTTGACCAGCTTTAGTTATAACTTCAGCGGTTATTGTATCATTGAACTTCAGTAGTTAATTTGATATCCTTGTATATTTCTCCGAAAAAGTCACTATTTTTGAATATTTTAATTGCAGATATTTTAATACATTGATTTAGAAAGTCAACAACATCTGTACTTAAAGCTAACTGTTATTATGCTACTGCAGTGTTTCTCAAACTTGAGCTGGGGGTCGTGAAGCGCCTCGAGAACTGAAAAGACATATGTACTTGGCTTCTCTGTGATGGCGTGGACGAAAACAAACTACAGGTCACTGCTCCGCATCGAACCGGAACTAAGATTTGCGGTGTCCAAGATCTGCCCTCGTTATGAGAAACTGCTAAAACAAACAAGCTTGCTCTTGCCATTATAAACAGTCATTCCTCGTGGCTTGCACTATTTTGTGCCAACGGTTTCTTGCCCGGCTGATTCGCTTTTGACCATATTAACCGCAATTGAAATTTGAACACTAATTTTGTAGATTATTGTTTGTACATCGAAATCGAAAAGCCTGTGTCATTGCAAAAATCTGCAGGGGTTCGGGGCACCGCTCAATATTTGTTGTTTTTAATGGGGAAGCACCGTGCTACCGGGTTAGGCGATCGTCCAGCTTATGATCGTGATTTCACGGGCACTGCATGAATAGCTACAGGACGTTCTGTTTGTGACTCGCATCAATCTAATATTGTTTGCAGATGGCATCACAGAGTAGCAAGCAGACAAGCATCGAGTCTGGGGGGTCCCGCTTCATCTTTGACTGGAATCCCAAGCACAAGCAGGGAACGAACTAGCAGCAGCAGCCGAGGTGGGCATGAGGGCCTGCACCTTTTATGTACAGCCGTTGAATTCAGAGAGGAGAGACAACCTTCCGTGGTAAGGCTTTTGCATCAACAAGTGTCAAATGTAACATTAGGATTTGTCAGACCCAAGTCAGTGAGGCGTGGGCACTTCTGGGGGGCACAAATGGGCTGTTGTTATTTGAACTTAGCTGAAAGCTCTTCATGGTTGTTTTGAAAAAAACAAAAACAACAAATGTGCTCACTGTAGTATTCAAATTTTTTGTTAAAGCGTTCTACACGACATAAATGGTGCCACAAACCAACCACTGGCGCACGTGCGCTCAGGCTGGCCGCCCCCCAGGGTGCGCAGCCCCATGCTGTTGACCATTAGTAAATCAGTGCGGCTCGAAGTGTCACTCGTGTCAGACGGGTCTCATTCCGGGGCTTTTCCCGCCCCAGGCTCCACCGGTCACCGCCTCATCGGCATGCGAGATCCTCGTCATTTCCGCAGGCCTGCGTGGGCTCTGCTCTTCTACTTTATTTTTTGCATTTTTCTTTTTTTGTAATTACTACACTTACATGTTAGGTTCACAACAGGTGTTGAAGCGACACTAGTCTGAAGTCTTGGGGTACACAGTCTTGCCCATTGTTTGTCAACTTGGCTCTTTGTCGCATCACTATGGTATTCACATGGATTATGGGAAACCTGTCTGCTTTTTAGGAAGATCAGACTGATGACCCGGAGATTAGTGCAACAGATGGGATCCTCCAGGACCAAGCATCAGGGCTTGACAGGTAAAGTCTCAAAATAGTTTCAATTATCGCTTCAGTGCCCAGTTTACCTCCTTAGCTCTCTTACCCTTCCCTCGCAGTGACCGAAGTGGCACCTGGCCTGTGTTTCGAATTGTTGATATTTACAACATGCAAACTTATGCAGTAAATATTCCAGTGAGGAAAGAAATTAGACTCCGGATGTGTTTTCTACCGTGATGTTTGACTGCCGACTTAAGCAAGCTGCTTATTAATTTTCATGATGCTTATGCAGCCCAGGCCCAGCTTGGCATCAAAACTCTATCGGCACACAGGATCGGCAGGACGGCCTGCTAGAAAGTGCTGCAGAATCCAGTGAAACAGCACAGCGTTCAGTGGTAAGATTTCTGTATCAACCAAGTTGAAGTTACTAATAGAATTTCTTGAACTCTAATCAGCAGAACGTGGAATTCATAAGGGTACACATACATATTGCTTTTACTGTGGCGTGCGAAAATGCCCTAACAATTATCTAAAATATGTGCAACGAGATATCTAAAACAAAAAACCAACAAATGCGCATGCACATTGTGGTTTACAGGACCTCATGGGACACTACTCCGTTTCACCTTACGTCCGGACGCAGCGGACATAAGGTGAAACGGCCTTGGATTGGCACCGATGGCTCGAAGCATCCGCTGTGCCCGGACATTAGGTGATACAAAGTATAGCGCAAAGACTTCTGCGGCAACGTCTTGCAGATTTAAACATGAGGAAGATACATAGAAAAGGGGGGACAGTAAGTCGCTGAAGCTCCAGCGTTTATTGGGGATGTTGCATGATATAGGACATCTTTTGCAGTTTTAAAATTTTGAAATAATCTTGTCAATTTCACAATTAAGTCCACCTAAAATAGACACCATGGCATACGCAAAGGGTGCAATCGAGCTGGCGAGTAGGTACATATGCTCACTTTCAAGTAATTGTACATGATTTTCGAAGAGACTGTTTGGTTGTGCTCTACGTTTGCTTTCGGAGCTCTTGAAAAAAAGCCCCTCATTTTAGTTTGTGCAATGCCTGCCACTGGCAATTTCATGTGTATGTAAAGCAGTACAACGACAACAAAAGACTAGGCAATGGCCTTCAAGGTGCCATTTTACCAGTTATTTGCGTCTATTGAAATACACGGTCTACAATGTCGGACCCGTGATGGCGGCCGCGATGCCCCATCAGTCCGAGGAGATCAAATGCGTCGGAATAGTGCAACAGCACGGATTGGCGAATCATTTGTAGACAAACCTTTCGCTTCGAAACAATACCACAGCTTCTTTGGGCCGTGTTGAGATGTTCATTCCATTGCTCGTCCTGCTTCATCCGCCATGATGCAAGGCAAATCTTCATCTCTTACGCTAGTTCACGTACCGCTAACCGTGACGATCCAGTCAAACTATTCCAGAGTTGACTGCAATTTCCGCACACATTCACAGTTGCATTAATGAATGGGGGGGGGGGGGGGGGAAGGGGGGAGGGAACCGTTTGCCTCATAACGGCTCACTAGAACTCCCAATTGTTATGAACTTACTCTTTGTCATGCCACTTTATTATTTGCACCAATCGTGACAAATGCATATACTTCTAGGGTTCTCAGACCGACGACATGGAGATCTGCAAGGGGCAGTTTTCGGTCTACATTTCTACCCTGCAAGATGGCAACGGCTCAACACAGATTACACACCCCAGGGTGCCGTCTGTGTCGTCACGGCAATCTGGTCCTGACCAAAGAACAGGGTGCTTCCAAGGCTACGAGAGTGTCCGTCATTCTCCTACGTCATTGGAGGACTTGTGCAGTGTGACCACAACCGTGTTTGCCCTGCTTCTGAGCATGCTTCCTGTAGGTTCAGAACGATCAGTGGACACATCATTGGCAAACAAGCTCCTCTTGTTTCTGATGAAAATGAAACTAGGGATGAGCTACTCATCACTTGCAGTGTTGTTTTGTATACACCGCACCACAGCATCACGGCATTTTCGTACTGTGCTTGCATCACTGTCTGCTGCAACTGAAAAGTGGATTTTTCGCCCACCATCTTCAATCATCCTGTCCATGCTGCCCCAGTGCTTTAAGGCACACTACCCAGAATGCAAAATGATAATTGATTGTACCGAAGTTCGCACAGAGGAGCCGGGCTCTGTGGCTCAACAGCGTGCCTTGTATTCTGCATACAAATCAGGGTACACTCTGAAGTTTCTGGTCGCAGTGACTCCAAATGGGATGATTTGTTTTCATTCCAAGGCCTATGGCGGACGCTGTTCCGACCTCCATATTACTGTAGATTCCCAGTTTTTGAACTTGGTTGAGCCAGGTGACGTGATATTAGCAGACAAGGGCTTTCCGGGTATTAAGGCTAGCGTAGAGGGCAGTAATGCTGTGCTTGTCATGCCTCCTTTTTTTTCAGGGGCTGGGCAGTTTAGTTGCCAAGAGGTAGAGGAGACGTACAACATTGCTCAAGTCCGTATTCATGTGGAGCGAATGATTCAACGAATCAAAGTGTACAACATTCTAAACACTCGGGTACCAATTTCCCTCATACCAGTAATGAGCGATGTTTTTCATATGTGCTGCATTCTGGCGAACTTGCAACCTGCCATAATTGCATCACAGCCATGAGCCCCGAGACTAGAAGTGTAAAATCAGGTTGTTTCAAACCTATCGCCGGCTACAGTCTAAGCTCATTATAACAGACCTGGTTACGACAGACACTTGGATATAACATACCGATTTGTAGAGTTTGGTTGGTTTTCCTCTATGCGGCCATTGACTCAACTTCGTATCTGCATACAACATACTCCTTTTACAACAGACTGAAATCTTGGTCGAAACCAAGGTCTGTAATAACGAGCTTAGACTGTATACACCTTTTCCAAAAGGGCGCAGCCGTCTTGAATGGCGTCACTTCTGGTATGCGGTGAAACATTGTTTTGATCTCTCCGCACCGCTGGAAGTTGTTTACAAAAAATGCATGATTGTTACTCCTTGTTTTGCCTCACCTATATTTTCTCGCATATTCCAGCTTGAAATGTGCCATTTTTTCGTTCCACCAAGCAGATATGGAACCCACGTAACCACAAGAAACGGAAAACATCTATAGGCCAGGAATGGAATGCACTAACAAACTACATCTGATATTTCGTTTCGAGTCATTGAAATAGACCTGGTAGTGGCCACCAAAGTTTGTTTATTTGTATTTGTTTTTGCAATACTAAGAATAAAAGGGCTTCTCAAAAGAATGGCATGAGCTTATTTCATGACAAGCAATACAAGAAAACTCTTATCTATCCTATTTTAAGTACAAATAAGTAACACGGGTTAATACTCCTCTACATGCAAGATGGCACTCTTTATTGAAAAAAATGTCCCCCCTTTTCAGCAAATGACTATGAAAACGACTCGCTTCCAAGTTGATGTTACATGTGATAAAAAACAACTACAAACAAACTTGGAGATGGGGAAGATTATGTACAGTACTTCTTAACAATTGCTGGCAAGTAATGAGAGAAAAAGAAGCCTTCCAAGTGCCGGATGGCTGTCTCCAAGAAAACGTTGTCTCTCTCCACAGCAAGAATTACACTGTCCACACTCGTGTACACAAAGAAAAAGCACTCTCCCAGGTTAAGGACGTACATGAGGACTTGAATTTGAGTATAGTACTTGTGAGCGCGCCGTAAACACAGCCTACCCTCTTCGTACACGAGGTACTTCACGAAGGTAACCTCAGCGGTTGAATCTATGACCGCAGAGTCTTTGATGGAGTGCGGACACTTGATCTCAACTTGAATGGTTCCTTCACCGGTCGCAAAGAGGCCATCGGGGCTGCCACACAGCAATGGCTGCTGATTGTGCACAAGCAGCCCCACCTAGAATGGACACAGAGCATTTATCACATCTAGCAAACAATTAGGAGATTAGAATTATCATACAATGGTGCCACAAAGGTCACATATTGTTTAGCAAGCCGCCTTACATTTGTAGGCTATTGACACTTCCAAACTTGTGGTCATATACTCAAAGACTATATATAAATGCCGTACCTCCACAACACGGGCCTCGACTTTCACTTCAAATGCACTCCTCGCCACTGGCTCGGTTCGCAAGCCTGCATGGGAAATGTTGGTAGAACCAGGTCTTAAAAATTCAGAGCACTCCTATTGAAATTGGAATATAACTTGCCATAACGTGTAGCATCACATGAAAACCATTTTGCACCAAGCAGGCTCTTGGAGAGGTCCTCGGGGGTCTTCCTGGATCTCAAAATGGTGTGCGCCATGGAGCTCGTGATTCGCACTTTCCGCTCTTTGTACCACCTGTAGAGGTGTGAAATGCATTTTTATTAGAATTGCAAAAGATAAGGATTTGTTGCAGGCTTCTTATGGCTTGGAGTGTAAATAACAATTGAGTTGCCTTATGCCTGCTATAGCAAAGAAAAAAAATCATTGAAGACACTAAAAGACCTTACCTAGCACACTTCGACTGCTGCAGTGTGGCCATACACAAGCTCAGGGCGCTGGAGCAGACAACATTATTATAAAAAAACGAGGCCTCCAGTCGACTCATGTGCGCCGAGTGGTCTTTCGGGGCCACCCGAAGTACGGGATATGTCCCGGTCACCTCTAGGGTATGGTACGCTGGCATCTCTGCACTTGGGAGAAGCTCCAGCACGGTCAGTTCCTCCACTATCCCAACGGCTGCACCCACCATGTCCTGAAGTAATCTCTCGCACTCCAGGTCCACTTGGCACCTGTTCATCTGTTTTAGCACATTTGTGAACGGTGAGTTTATGCCGTCGAAGTGGCTTATAATATAAGCTGGCGGGAAACGAGCTGGTGGCCTCCCTCCAGCAAACACCCGGTCTTCTGAAAGGCAAGAGGTCGAGTGGTGAAGCAGACATCGAATGCATTTAGTTCAAACGCGCAAGCGAGTCACGCTAAGAACCAGGGGAGGGGTCTTTGGGGGGCTGCAGCCCCCCTTCCCCCCTCCCCCAAATTGTAGACGGGGGGGGGGGGGGGGGCATGTAAGCAATTTAGCGAGCGACGAGCGACCTCAACAAGTGATGAGAGTCAGCGACGAGCGACGGAGATTTTTCACTGCCGCTCGTCGCGCCGCTTGATTTTTGGATTTCTAGAAAACGCCGCTCATCGCATTGGTCACTTCCTCCAGTCGCTTTCATGCCGAGCGAAAGCGGGTCCTTGCCGCCGTCGCGTCGCCGGCGTCGCTCGCCAAATCGCTTACATGCGGTTTATGTTCCTGGCTACGCCACTGCTAAGAACACACCTCCAAAAAGTTCACTGATGGGAGCCTTGTCCTTCAGTGTTGGCTTTCCCAACGGCTTTCCCCAAGCTTGAGGAAGACTCGTGCATGTCGCAACTTCATCCTCGCTGACGAACAAGGCGACCGCGGCGGCGTGTTTACAGTCGCCGCGGGCGCCGTAGCGGCAGTTGCAAGTGCTGTCGACGATCTCGCGCGACACGGGATTCAGCTGCATAAATAGAAATAAATCATAGAACATTTGCTGCAATTATTTAGCAGCCGTTATCAAATGGAACTGCATTCAATCGTTCCTTTACCTGAATCGTGATGTCGTACACGTTCTTGCCTTGCTGCGAATGGCACTTAGCCGAAATGTCACGGCCATACGTCTCTTTCGCCGCATACACATGCTTGGTTTCGAGAAGCTTTCTACCTTTTTTCAACCCTTGTTCACGAAAAAAGGAGTCAAGCGCATTAATAGGTTTAAAACCGCAAAACAACACGATGGGAGGCATCCTGCCGCTACTGATCCTGACTGAACGACAGCACCGTGCACTCCCGGATGTCCGCCCGCCGCGACTTCCCATCGGTTGGTATTATTGCCGCCAGAGGCGCTGACGATCGTATGACAGTGGTGCCACCTAGTAACCTGCTCAGGGGCTTTAGTGAGTGTAATGATTTTTATGTAGGTGATAGGCCCTCTTGGGAAGAACATATCAGAAATAGTTCAATGCTATATCTTGAGGACATTGCCAGATAACAACTCACAAATATTGGGTAAAAATGTCAAAGTTGCCTAGTTCGTGTATTTCGAAGCGCTGCATTTCGCATGGAGACAAAATAATGCAACATGTTAATGGAACACCACGCGATATAGTGTAAAATATTTTCCTCGAAAAAAAAAAAGAAAAACGAAGTTTTTTTTTTTAATTGCACGCTGAAGTTGGGGAACGTTTCACATTGAAGCACGTTTGAAGCGTTGTAAATATTTTCAGTTATAAAACTCGAGTAAAAAAATATTTTTAGATGATTTACCGTTCCGGAAACAATATACAAAAAAAATTCAACGCTATATCTAGAAAATATTACGAGATATGCACTCCTAAACATCAGATACAAATATCAAAGTTACACGCACGCACACACGCACGAAGGTACACAATAACCTGAAAGCCGAATGCAGTGGCTGATGTACGAGTAGTGATCAAACTGTTTCTGCGGTTGACATCATGGGACGTCGCGTTCATGTGGGAGCTGTAAAGGTTAGGTGATCAAAAATGCACAATCATGACAATCAGAGCACATATATCCAACATTTTTTACCCTCAACAACCTTCTCTCCCCCCCCCCCCCCTTTTTTTTTCGCTCAGAAAAAAAGAAAAGAAAAAGAAGGGAGATCGTTTAATGGTGCGACTTTTGCCGACGGTGCACGCGCGCAAAAGTACATGTCAATCGCAAAAGTGTTATTTACAAGATAAAGTACACAGGAAAGTGGTTGTCGCTTTAGATGTCATTAGAATTGGTTTTAGTAGTGCACGCATACAGTAGCCTAACCACATAGTTTTAACCCAACTACGGGAAAACGATCAGTTCTTTTGTTGACCCGTTCAAGACTGGCAGTTGTTGAAATATTTTAGCAAAGCGAAAACCGGGTATCGGCGCAAATGATAATCTATACGCAAACCCGAGCCCCTGAGACTTCAACAGTGCCTCCGGTATATGTGTGCGTGTGTTCACCTCGATTGGAGAAGTCATTCCAGATATAGTCACGGCAGTCCGGAAAGTCGAAGTGCTTCCGTCGCATTCCAATTAATGCTCGGAGCCTTTATTCTTGGCTGTAGGTATAAATTAGGTTAGCTCGCACCTCACGTGTGAACCTAAGAACAAACGATTCCGTCAAAGCATTTTATGCTGCACAGGTTACGCCACCTCAGCTTATCGGATATCAGTGATACATTACAATAGACTTGAGTAGCTCTTGCTGTGTTGCAACTTACAAGCACAAGTAGAGAATTAAAGAAAAAAATATTATCTTCTTTTTTTATTAAAAACGAGCTTGCGAGAGCACGGTTATGGTCTCATCTCATATGTTGCGCTGTAGTACAGCATGGCGACACCACTGATTCAGATACTTTGGAGTTACTAGCGCATCGTAAAACCTCGTTGTCATCGGCGGCTTCCTGAACAAGGTTGCGGCATGACAGTAATATATTATATTGCGCCTACATTGCACTGTTTGCAACAGCAGACTGATATTTCATTATCGACAAGCAAACTCTACCTGCAAAAATTAAATGTAATACGAAGAGAATGCCCATAGTTTTAGTAATCAGTAATTTGTAATGTGATATAATTAAATTTTA